GAAACTGTTCCATGAACAATCAAGCAGAGGCACATAGGAGGAAAGTTAAGTCTATGAGTGCAATGAGAAGACCCATGGACAATTATAAGGCAGATAACTGACGATGCAGGACTGGGTGCTAAAGGATGGAGAAGATCAACTGGAAGTCATCAACTTATTGTCTCACTTCCTAATGCTTCACAGAAACCCATTTAAGATGGTGACATCTGTCTTGAACAGCAGTGCACAGATCTGTACACAGGACTCCAACCCAATGCTCAGAAGGGTATTTTGCTTTCTTGGACCTGGAACCAAATCTTTTGCCAACACAAGCAAGCACAGCCTTGGAAGGGTCTTTGGCATTCTTTTTTACAGTGATATCAGCTGTTTAAGTACAGCAGCTTACTTTGCCTCATTCCAGATGTGCATTTATGACACCAATGCTATTCCATTGAGGAATGCAACTATATATATATATATATAAAAAAAACTGGAGGATGAAATGGTAGTTTTAAGATGTCAATCGCAGGGGGGATAAACCCCACCCTGTGAAAGATAAAACCCACACAGTGATGGCAATGACTGCATCCACACATTACTAGGTATTGTGGTCTTGGTGTGCTACAGAAATCCTTTGCTACTGCATTTTCCAGTGGGGACAAGGAAATCCACCTGCAAACAGTTTCTATAGCTCAATGATGTTGCAACATCCAACAAAATGTGGATGCAATCGCTATGTTTCTTCCCTCTTTTGCATGCAAAAAGGGAAAGCCTTTTCTTCATCTGGAATCAGCCGCTTCCCTGCATGTCTTGCATTTCTTGGCCTTTAAGCCCAAACTGAGTTTTAGGCCCTTTTCAAGTAGGTGGCAACATTGTGCTAGAAAGAAATGGAACGTGGTGTATTTTTAGGCAGACGTCCCCCTCCTCCCCCACCCCACTCTGACGGGCCTCTTTCGCTCTCTTTTCATTGTTTTCCCCTTTGGAATATCTCCTTTTACATTCCACTCATAAAGTTCTTCAAAGGGCAGGGGGGCTGGATTGGAGAAAGTATGACAAGAATCTGGTTTCCAGTCAAGGGTCTCAGACAGGAAAATATCTAACAGGGCTGGGCCCAAGTATCCACATGGCAGAGCATCTGAATAAGAAATCATGCAGGTACCTTGCAAGCTCCACTAAGCTACAGAGTCAAGTTATCTAAAACATAAAAAGTACAGAGCTGTATATATTGAATTAGGAATCTCTTGTGGGGGCGGGAAGAGACAAATAGAAAAGAGAAATAAAATAAAACTGATCTTGAAATGGGGAGCTGAACTTTTACAATGTTACTACTGCCACTGCTTTATTCTGTCTGATTCCATGCTAGCAACAATGATGGAAAGCCAGCAATGATTATGGCAAACAAACAAAAGACTGACCGACATACAAACAGACAGATAGCTGGATATGCAGAATTTATATGGAATAAAATGTAACCTAGAATGAAATGTGCTGTTCTTCAAGATGAAAATAAAAAGAGTGTATCTGAAGTTATAAGCACCCCAGTTTCTGCTGAAGGTGAGAAATCCCCTGCCTTCAACAGGTACTTCCTGGGCCAGGAATCCTGTTGAATCCTGGCACTGCTCAGATCGGCAGTGGGAGAATAATAAAGGTGCAAATGGGAGGGGTGGTGACAGCATTCTGATGTGCTGATGTCACTTCCTGTCAGCATGCCACATGAGCCACTCTAGGATTCAGGCAAAACTCTATGTTTAAACCATAGAATTTTGCCCGAATGCTAAAGCATTCTCATTGATACACCAACTTCACTTCTGGTCTCACAGGAAGTGATGTCCGTATGTCACCAGAAATGTCATTACATCACCTGTGAGGGTGCCTCCATGTGAGTCTCCTGCCATATGCCAGCCTTGTGCTGGAACCCCCTGTACAGTACCATGCTACTTGTACAGCACATTCTTCAGTGAATGCTTAAAATAAAAGGGGATGAGAATTATCAGACAATTTTAATAATATGAAACAGTTGTAGGAAGGGGGGGGGATATTTTCCTGATCCAAGTATCCCCTTCTGGATTACCATAAACTCTCAGGGGCTTGAGCAGGCTAGTAAACTTCCCCCCCCCCCCCAAAGCACATTTGACTGTGAGCTCTAAACAAGTAGTAGTATCCCTTGCTATCAAGCAGCAAGGGCACCTAAGGATCTAGTTAGTGCTACTTCAGTAGTTATTGCATGATCTGGAATTCTGGGTTCACAGATGACACCACATTATTCATGACAGTGAAAGCCAGAAAGCATTCTAAAGAAATCCAAAAGGAACTCTCCAAATTGGGTTAGTGGACAACAATGTCACAAACAAGGGTCAATGTTAAGTAACTGTAAAATGATGCTCATGGGGGGGGGGGGTGTTTCTAACTCTATTTGTAACCTTTACCTCCACCGTGATGGGGTCTGAATAGCTGGTAACTGACCAGGCAAGAGATCTGGGGTGGGGTGGAATGGGTGGTCTTGGTGGCTAAGGAAAGTGTGTAGAATGAGTGAAAATAGCAAATTCTATGTTAAGGAGTATTAGGAAAGGGACAGTTGGAATACCACTTCATGTTACAAACACATACACACATGCACCCTGATGCTCGAAGCAGGCTTCTCCCTGAGGGATTCCTAAACACAAATATGTGAGGGTTTCATTAGTTTCACTCCCCAGATTTGTTCATAACCGACACCCACTTGAAGTGCTGTAATTTTACTTGGACCTTAATTTTGAGCACTAAGATGATTAACTGTTGCAAGCCATTTCATTGTTTAAAATAACTTCAGTCCTTTACAAGAGCTTCTCCAAGCTCTACATCTTCTGGAATAGGGGGAGGGAAAAATATATGAAGCTGGCAAGAGTAACTATGACTCTGTTAACAGCTATGAGTCTGGTTATGGAGACAACTTTAATAGGCACACCGCCTCCTCGTGGCCCACGCTGGGCAACTGTAGGGAAAAAAAAAAATTTCCCTACTGACTAAGTGTATTTCTGATGTCTCCTCCCCTCCAGTTCCACATGGCAAGGTCAGGACTTATGCCAACAAAGGATTAAATGGACCCCATCTCTAGAGGAACAGGTCCCACCAAAATCCTGGTGGTAGATCACACCACCTACCCAACTGGCACCCAGAGCGCAGAGGCTTGCCTGCATCTCTTCTCTCCCTTACCAGGGAGGGGTAAAGGATTTTGTCAGTAGTCAGGAATTCTCTTAAAGTGTGTGGTTTACTCTCTAGGTCAGTTGATTGAGACCTCAGCACCAGACATGTCCCATCCCTACATGATGACTTTTGCTGGTAGGGAGGTAATCCCGAGCCCATCCCCCCAGCCTTTAAGAAAGACAATTCTAGTTTGTTCAGTGTAGTTTATTGGATCTCACAGGACATGACCAGATGGTATCTGCCCAACTGAGCAGGGAGTTCTTGAGTCAGACTGGTAGGTGGTAATTAGAGACAGAGATTGAGAGTCCTCGGGGTCAGCGTATAGAACAGGGGTGGCCAAATTTGCTCAACATAAGAGCCACACAGAATAAACATCAGATGTCTGAGAGCCACAAGACATGAACAGATATTACAAACACATTTTTATTTAAAAATATGCAAATTTGCTTTTTATTAACATTAAATGAGACTGCCAAAAATAAAAGCAAAAGGGGTAAAACAGATATTGATAATAATATTTATTTGTCCAATGATATTTATTTGTTTGCTAATGATCTTTATTGTCACAGAGAGAGAGAAAGAGAGAGAGGTGGAAAGAAAGAGAGAAAGAGAAAGGAAGGAAGGAAGGAAGGAAGGAAGGAAGGAAGGAAGGAAGGAAGGAAAAGCATGCTCCCCTTCGCTTCCCCAGCCACCCTGCTGGGAGCCACACAATATGTGTGAAAGAGCAACGTGTGGCTCCTGAGCCATAGTTTGGCCACCCTTGGCCGCCATGTCTCTGGGTGGGTTCAAAATGGTCTATGGAGTTGAGGCTGTATGTAACATCCTTTTCATTTAGTTAACTGGACTTGGAAAGGCTTTTTGCAGTGGACGAATGTGCGTTGTTTGTCTGGTATATATAGAGGGCTACTGAGTCAAAACTCTGGTCCATCTGAACAGTTGTTCAGGAGGGCATTCTTGTAGAGGGAGTAGAGCTGTGATGTGATGGATCAACTCAGGAGGTGACCTCTTTTGGGGATGATCTAGGGTCAGTCACAGCTCTCTCAGAGCTGTTCTCTCAAGAGTAGTTCTTAAAAGAGCTCTCTCAGCCCCACCTACCTCACAGGGCATCTGTTGTGAGGAGAGGAAGGGAAGGAGAATGTAAGCCATTCTAAGTGAAGGGCAGGGTATAAATCCAATCTCCTCCTCCTCCTCTGACTGGCAGCAGCTCTCTGGAGTTTCAGGCTGAGAAAAGGTCTTTCTCTGCACCTGCTCTTTGAGATCCTTTAACTGGAGATGCCAAAGACCTGGGATGTTCTGCATGTGCTCTACCACTGAAAGGAAACTGGTTTGTACTGAGTCAGACCACTGCTTCGAGCAAAGTATTGCCCACTCCGACTGGCAGCAGCTCTCCAAGCGAGTCCTGCTACCTGAGATCCTTTGTGATGGCAGATACTAGCAATCCAAAATAGAACATTCTCCTCATCATCAACCATAACAAGCACTTGCATAATTCTTTTGAATGTTCAAATATTTTACACAGATGGTATCTATGTAATTTTTATGACACCCTTGAACTGTGAGCCACTTTTATAATACCCAGATTGGGAGGGCAAGCTGAGAGGGTTTGCCTAAATCCATCTAGTGAACTTGTGGCAGATTCTGACCCAGCTGTGCGCACAGCAAAGGCTAGCTGTAAAAAGCCTCTGCTCTACCAGGCAATAATTCAGTTTCTTTGAGAGATGTTCTTACTGAGCCACTCAGATTCCCACATGGAGGAAGGAACTTCTGCACAAAAATGAGCCCCTGCGCAACTGCAACCAGTGATGGGCTGCAACAAAACCAGAGGAATGCCAGCTTACCTTTTTAGTCTTAACTGTTGATGCGCAGCAGTCCCCACCATCATAGTTGCAAAAGGCTTTGTTGTTGCTGGCGTCACAGTAGTTGTCTCCCATGAAAGGCTGAAAGAAGGAGAGACATAAAGTTGCCATACGCCAACTCAGACCATTGGTCCATCCCATACAGTACTGTTTGGTTGGCCATGGTTCTGCCAGAACTCAGGGACAAAACAGGTCTTTCCCAGTGCCTGCTAGCTAGGGTTGCCAGCCTCCAGGTGGGGCCTGGGGATCTCCCACTTCTACAACTGATCTCTAGCTGACAGAGATCAGCTCCCCTGGAGAAAACGGCTGCTTTAAAGGTTGGTGTTGTACTGTGCTGAGACTGCTCCCCTCCCCAAACCCCGCCCTCTCCTGGATCCACCCCCAAAGTCTCCAGGTATTTTCCAACCCAGACTTGGCAACCCTACTGCTAGCTGAGAGGCGGACCTGGGCCTTTTGGCATATTGTTCTATCCTGCATAGTTTTTGTATCCTTTTAATATGCTGTAAGCAGCTCTGGAGATAATTTGGTTGAAATACAGTTGCCAGGTCCCCCACAGGCACCTGCAGGCCACGGGGGGTAGCACTGCCAGATCCATGTTGGGAAACTCCTGGAGATTTGGGGATGGAGCCTGGGCAAAACAAGGATCGGGGTGTGTGTGCAATGCTACAAGGTCTACCCTCCAAACCATCAATTTTCTCCAGGGGAACTGATCAATGCTCCCTCTAAGCTGTGGAGTTTTGTGAGCAAAAATTCTACTTTGTGAGCAACTGGCATTAAAGTTGTGAGCAAGCAATTTGGCTACTGCATAAATTAGTTTGCTCTGGAGCCATCCTTCCCGAGCTAAGACAAAAATGTGTGAGCCAGAGGCTAAAAAACTGTGAGTTAGCTCACACTAACTCATCTTTGAGGGAACACTGGAACTAATCTCTGTAATCTGGAGATGAGCTGTAATTCCAGGGGATCCCCAGGTCCCACCTGGAAACTCTCATCCCTAGGCTGAAAGGAAGGGTATGCATCATAAAAAGGCAGGTCCATATTGACTGGGCTGTGACTGACTAGTACAGCATATGCAGAAACTCCTGGGAATTCTTCTTGAAGGGAAGTGTGAACAATTCTTCTCCAACTTTTATTTGGCATATGATGGGCATGGGGAATCCTGTGCTGGCTGTGCTAGACCCCTCCCCACATGTACACTTCTGATGGTCTTATGCTTGGCCCAGGCCCGTAGATACAGTGGGGCATCTCAGGGCTAGGCCCCCTGACTTACTAGCAATGCCCCACGACTTCCCATCCAGGCCAGGGCCCCCAAGCCGCGGCAGGTGCAGGGAAGGGGCCAGGTATTCCTACGCCCACTGCTGGGGGGCAGGGGAGAAGCGTAGAGATGCCCCCTCCCCGTCTCCGGCTCCCAAGGGTGCCCTGGAGGCCAGGCTTACTGGCAGAAGATCCCCGGCTGCGGATTGCGTGCCTCCCAGATGCTCCGCAGCAGCTTGAAGGTTGCAGCAAAGGCACCCGCTGAGAGACCTCCTCCCTCGTCCTGCCCCAGGGCTGTGACCTGTGTGTGAAGAGGGAGGAATAGAGCCGTGGTCCTGGAACAGAGCTGTACTACTTCATCATACTGCAGTAGGGGGCTGCAATTTTGAACACTCCCCCCCTCCATGTAAGGTAGCCCTGAAAGTAAACAAAAATTAGCATGTGCTGGCGGAGGTTTCAGGCCAGACTTTTCCACTGCATTAATATTTTAAGGCCTTTTCTTTTTAACATAGAATCCTTAAAATCACTGTTCCCCCCACCTGCTGTCTGTCAGTTCAATTACCTCAGCTTTCTCCTGCCTCTGTCTTCTACAGGGGAAGAACATGCCTGAGACGCAGGTGTGTGTGAGGGGGTGGCTACGGATACCATTTCAGATTCTGAAATCCACACTGGAGTTCTGACGGGGCAGAATGAATCCAGGTAGTTAATGGGGTCTTTTGTCTGTTTATTAGAAATTAAGCCACTGGGCCTCAGGGAGCATAACTGTAACACCGTGAGAACAACATGGGCTCTCTGTTATCTGCATAGCTTGTTTCTGGAGTCTAGGTCTGGAAAGCACTCTCACCACCACCACCCCGCTCCATCACATAAAACACACAATTTTCTGTTCCCCTATTAAACAGCCTTGCAAGGAACTCTTTGCTGCTGTTGTGGCAGACGAGGTCATTTGAAATGACAGCCCGTCGTTCCCATCGTATGACCATTAGAGCTCTCCCTTGTGTCCTCTTTTGTTCTAAATGGAGACACATGTTGTCCTCACCCAGAAGAAACTGTCTCTGGAAAAGGAGCTTAAAGTGGTTGAGGTTTCATTTGCCTCGAGTATCCTAATGGCACGGCTCAACTCTTTCAAAATAAAATGTCCGGACGTCTGGAGAACAATTGCTGAGCATGCTGGCCTGCTTTCCTTTTGGAAGAGCCAAGGTCAAGCTCATAAATATTTCAAGGGGACACTGTGAAACATTTTAGACCCCATAAGTTTTTATCACCGTTACTGCTTTGTATATACGTAAACAGCTCCTCACAGAACTGGAAGGAAGCTCTGCATTCTCAACTCATGTACCACAACTAAGGCTGCAGAGTTGCCGGCTCATTCATTTTCAAGTGGTCTGTGTTTGTTTGTTTTACTTCAATAATAATAGAACTGGCTACATTTATCTTCTCTTGCAGACTACTAGGACTCATAATTCCTACAACCACGGCCACTGTTCCCTCTAAGATGAGTTAGTGTGAGCTAGCTCACAGCTTTTTAGCCTCCGGCTCACACATTTTTGTCTCAGCTCAGGAAGGATGGCTCCAGAGCAAACTAATTTATGCATGACCCAAATTGCTCGCTCACAACTTTCATGCCAGTAGCTCACAAAGTAGAATTTTTGCTCACAAGACTCCACAGCTTAGAGGGAGTATTGACCACGGCTGTTCATTGGATTGTTCCTGTTGCAACATGGCATCTTGGCTGCCTAAAGTGTTTGTCTCATGGTGGGATTATGTGAAAAGAAATGTTACCAAGGGTGTTGTTGGAGTTGTTAGAATATAGTAAGGTTGGGGAGCCCTGGTTTCAAATCCATCCTAAACCACCAATACTCACTTGACTGACCTGGGGCCAGTCATTTATCCTCAACCTTACTCGCCTTGCTGGGCTGTTGTGGAGATAAAACAGAGAAAGCAAGAAGCACCCTGAGCTCTTTGGAGAAAGGCTGTTATAAAAAATGTGATCAGAATGGGGGCATCGCTCTTGCACTACTCGATTGTTTGAACAAATTGAGAGTCCAGAGTGGCACCTTTAAGACCAACAAAGTTTTATTCAAGGTGTGAGCTTTCACGTGCATGCACACTTCTTCAGATATATTGAAATGGAAGTTACTAGTCCATACATATAGCTAGAATAAATAAATCTTAATAAATAAATAAAACTTGTTGGTCTTAAAGGTGCCACTGGATTCAAGCTTTGCTCTGTTGTTTTAGACCAACACGGCTACCCACCTGAATCTATCTTGATTGTTTGAAGTTACTGATACCATAACACACCAGAGGCCTGGTCCTATGTTTTATTTAACACACTTCTATTTTGCCTAAGGTTGCAAACTGCAGGTTGGAAAATTTTTGAAGATCTGGGGGTGGAGCCTGAGGAAGAGGAGGAACCTCAGCAGGGTATAATGACACAGAGTCCATCCTCCAAAGCAGCCATTTTCTCCAGGGAAACTTGTCTGTGCTGCCTCAACTGTAATTCCAGGAGATCACCAAGACCCACCTGGAAGTTAGGAGCACTAATCCTGCCATCTCCTTGGACTCATGATGCTGAACAATATAGCAAACATGTTGCAAGACATACATACATACATACAATACACACACACACACACACACACATATATATAAAAACATATATATTAAAAATATATATGTATATATAAAACATATATATATAAATATATATATATATGTATGTACCACTACTGTACCACCACTATCTGGCCCTGGAAGAGAGAACGACAGCGTCACGTAGAAGTGACGGCACTGATTGGGGTATCATCTTTAAGACGTCATCTTTATGGAAGATCCTTTCGGAACATCTAGAGCACTTAATAATGTTGTAATATTGTAGCAATGATTTTAAATGGTTTTAATGTGTTTTATGTGTTGGCTTATGCCTGTCTGTGAGCTGCCCTGAGCCCGCGTTGAGGGGAGGGAGGGCTATAAATGGAATTTATAAATAAATAAATAAATATGTATTATATATGTATACATGTATGTATTCCAATTAACAAAATTAAAACAGATTAAAATATACAGTTTGCCCAGTCAAAAACATTCAGCCTCAAAATGCACAAGCTAAAACATACAGGATCAGCAAAACTCAGAACCAAATCTGCTGGAAACATTTACCCTCCATTGAATCCTCTCTGGATTTGGACTGCCCTGCAAGCAGGGTTCCCATTTGCCCACTTATGGCTGGAGACTTCCTGCCCCCTGTCAACACTGCACAGCTGGGTGATGGGAGGAAACTGGCTGGTCAGCCAGGATGTTGTGTGTGTAATCATCATCCTTGTGTGATGACATAACTTCCAGTGTCACCCAGAAGTGATCATGCTGGGGCCAGCACACTAGCATTCACCCCAGTACTCTATGGTTTCCTTATATTTGAGTGAATGCTAGAACGTTGCCACCTTGTGATGCCATCACTTCTGGGTCACGCCAGAAGTTGCATCATTGTGTAGGGATGATGATTGTCCCCCTCCCCCCCAAAGCTCCCACTTCTCACTGAAGTTCCCACCTACTTTCATGGCTTTTTAAATGTATCAACAGAAAGTCCCTTCCCTTCTCACCCATTTTGGCAGGCCATTCCAAACGACTGGGCCCACCACAGAAAAGGCCTGTAGCCAAACAGACAATCCTAAGAGAGGCACCTTATGGAAGAGGCCGTCTGAAAAGTAACTGGCATGGAACCCAGGAGAAATGGGGAAAGGTCCCAGGTCCATCCTGGAAAAACTGATCCACCCAATTCGACACTGGTAAATAGGGCCTTTTCTCTGGGGTGCTTAGTTTCTGGATTT